GGCGGTTGGGGGGAGGGGGTGTTTCTTCCTCCCCCCGCCACGAACATAAAACTAGTGAATACACTGAGCACCATTTCCACACTTGGAGAGGACGGGCAGGGAGTACTGAACTCTCCAACACGACAACACTAATATACTTCTAATATATTTGTATGCTTCCATCATACTGGTATCATTTAAGTAATTTCTGTCAGCTTCTGTATTTAACCCAGTGCTTTCCGTGTTAATTTTAAGACAGGAAACAAAACAACACTGAGATGTCTATAAACTGTAAGTATATATAGATAACAATATTACATATTTGGGTACACACACATTCTGAAATATTTAATAAGTAAGTTTGCATTTTACATCAAATGGAAAAATAATTATCATTAATACACAGCTGAAATATGCCATGTAAGATTTTAAAATAACACGAAGAACCCACGGATACTGAATTCAGCAAACTTGAATGCTGAATCATAGGCAAATGGCAATTTTCAGAGTCAATAGCTTAGCCTCCGAACATAACGACTAACCTACTTTTTGGAATCTTAACTTATTATTACTCTTAATCATGCAAACTACCTAACTGCTTTTAAGTTATCAAAATGATTAATATTTGAAGATCTCACTGTATTCATGCCTCCTATAAACTAGAGTTTCATATTGTTTAGATGAATACATGTCAAATGCAACCTGTGATTTGGATTACAGTTGAACTGGTGACCAAGAGAACAACCCTTTTTCTTTTTTCCCCTCCTCCCCCCACCATTCATCAAAATGTGTGAAAAACTTGCTATGTGCAAAGTGGACATTTGATTCTCAAGAAACTAATTCACAAAAATACAAGTAACAGACATTCAATGCTTGCTGACAAAAATAAGAGTAGAAAAAAAGATAAAAACCCTGTTGCATGAAGAAAAATGGGGTAGTGCTGTTTGTATTTTATTACTCTGAAAATACTTGAGACACAATTATCTACTATTCATTTCTTTGAATATAAATAGATTTAATCAGCTGTCATATAACCAAGGGTCAAAAAGATGTAAACCATTACAACATATTTTTAATAAATGACTCATCAATACAAAATAATCTTGGCTTGCAGATAAAGCATTATCCTATTAACTGTTTTACACTAAAATACTATTTTTTCTTCAGATAAAAGGAGATCCAGTTAAGCTATCCATGTTTGTGGGGTAAAATAAAATGCATGGCTATGACTGCCTTTAAGGACGTAAGGGTTTTTTTTTTTAATACAACTAGTTCTAGTTATTTCAATTACTTCTAGTCAGAAGTAATTCAAAATAATTTCAAGGCTAGGAATGCCAACATACATACCTCTGAATGCACTGATATCTCCATAATGTACTTGGAGCACAAAATATTTGCTACCTGTTTTTCCTCCAACTTTGAATCCAACACCTTAACAGAAAGAAGATGCATTAAAGCCTTAAAAGTGGTAAATAAAAATATAAAGCAGTTCATTATCATTAATACAATCAACACAGTGTAAAAACAGTCCTCAACATTTTCAGTGGAGACAGTTTCATTTTGAGATATCTGTTAAGAAAGTTCTGATCATGGAAGCTACAAAATAAACACATAAATAATATATAGTTTTTGAAGTGTACCCAAACATAAAAAGACTGAAAAGTATCATGTGCCAAGTCACAGCAAAGATTTTTTTAAAAATTTGCTGTCCACACTTAAGCATTGTGTCTTAACATGTCCTGTATGAAATTACATTTTCATGACAGGGAAAATGCAATACTTTTTAAGGAAAAGCAATGCAGATAAATGATCAATAAATAAAAGGGAGGAATTAAAAAAAACGAACACAGATTACACACCATGACTACTATGGTAAAGGCTTTTTCTACACCTGGCTAACAATGAAAATACTTGGAGACAAGCGGAAAAGAAACTTACTCTTGCCTATTCAGCCAGTGTATCCTTCTAGATCAAGGGTGTCAAACATATAGCTCACAGAATTTGGTCATCAGGCCCACGAGGCTCCTGGAGGGGCTGGGGATTCAGGGGCAGGGGCCTCCATTGAAATCTAAGATACGAGACCCCATTAGAGATGTGTGCCAGCAGGTGGGGTGGGAAGTGACTATTGCACACATCCTGCAGCCCCTGCCACTGCTCACCCCACTGCTGCCACTGCATCCAAACACAGCTCCTGAGGAGCCCTGAGGTCTGAATCTCACCAAGGTAGGCCAGGGTGTTTGACATCCCTGCTCTAGATTAACAATTGCCAATGGCAAAGCCTCTTTGTAAAATGGACTGCTGCATCTCTATGCATACTTGGGCCTTCAAATAAGAGGAATTAAAAATACCCCAAGGAAGGAAAGGAGACTGGTAACTCATTAACACATCTGCAGTTAGAAGTGGTTTAGAGATAGTGACAAATGACCTGGGGAGGTTTGGCATTAAAAGTAAATATCTTGGTTTGCTAGACTGTACAGCTTTGGTGAATCATTCACTTTTTTTTAAGAGCAAGTGCGCTGAAAGCTCAAGCAATATCTATACTGATTAACATGAAAAATGGTTTTCAGTAAAGCTATGTCTTTTTTTTTTGTACTGATCTTGGCTATAGGAAACACTGCTGGAGAAGGCAAAAGGGTGTCAAGGAGACTGCTATAAAAGATTCTCTTGCTCAGTGGTGTCAAACGTATGGTCCATGGGCTGGATCCAGCCCACAGGGCTTCTATTCAGCCTGGCAGGCTACCAGGGGCTATTTACTGAGATAATTAAATTTCTGTCAGGTGTTACAAGAGTGATTTAGTTTTTGCTAATTGTGGTAGCCAAATGAAACCATTACACTGGGAAGCTCTACTACCCCCTCTTATGTCCTCTGTACAAAGAATTTCATAAAATGAAAGGCAACATACCACTGGGAAGTTTGGTGGGTGGAGCATTTCTTGCCCAGGCATACAGGATGTTAGATTTATCTGTGCAGGTTCCTTCATCGCAGTCCCTAAAATACAGAGGAAAAAAAAAAGGATATGATTAATAATCATCACTGTCATTGCTGTCATCTGCAACTATGTCAAGCTCCAGGTGAACTGCTTACATTAAGATCCAAATTTCACCAATACACTCCTAATAATTCTAATATAATAAAAGCCTTAGTCTGTCTGTCTGTAATGCTTTACGAGCACTGTGATTGGTTGTCTCAGCAGCCAATCACAATGCTGACAAACAATCAACTAGAGTGCTCTGCACAGACAGATACACATGGTGGAGCACTGTCATGACAGCGGGCACTGAGGGGCCGCAGGGAGTGGGGGGAGGCCAGAGATGCTGGCTTTGCCCCACCCTCCCCTGGCCTTGCTCCTTGGAGGTGGTGGCAATGCAGGGTACCGGTGGCGCAGCACTGGCCTTGTCCCCCCACTCTGGCCTGGCCGCTGCATCCAAGGGACGGCCTTCCCCCGACACCTGGCCCTACACCTTTGAGGTGGCAGTGGCACTGGCACTGGCCAGCTTCGTTCCTGGTGTCATGGCAGAGCTCCATCCCCGGCAGAGGAGGACTCAGGGGATGAAGTGGCATGGCAGAGTGCTGCCATGATGGAGGGGACAGAGCAGGGGGGCGAGGCCAGTGCTGTGTCTCCACCGCCTCCAAAGGGCAGAGACGGGGGGGCAGGGGCCAGGCCACCCCTTGGATGTGGAAGCAGTGTGGGGTGCTGGCAGGGTGCACAGAGTGCTGGCTCCTGGCAGGTGACAGCAGCGTGGGATGGTGGGTAGTGGTGCTCCATCCCTGCCCTCCCCCCGGCAGAGGGGGGGGTGGCAAGGAAGAGTGGAGTAAGGGAGGGAGAGAGGGGAGTGGGACGGGGAATGGGGAGGTTCTGTTGGCATCACCCCCCTGCTGCTGCCACCCAGGCCCGAAAACAGCTGGCAGAGAGGGGGAGGTGGCGGGGAGGGAGGGAAGTGAGAGGAAGGGGGGTAGGGAGGTGGGGATGGTGCATGTGGCCAGACGTGGGCCAGCGGCAGAGCAGGGCACTGGGTGTCAGCAGCTGCCACTGCATGCAAACTCCTCTT